GACATCCATGCCCCACATAGAGAATGGCCATGGAGCAGTCATTACGTGCAATGGATGAGGAGGGGTGTGGAGCTTATCTCCATAAATCTGGCATTTGTGACATTTTCTGGAGAAATTGATACAATCAGTTTCCAGGGTTGACCAATAATATCCAAATCTCATTATTTGTTTAGCCATTGCGTGTCCATTAGCATGAGTACCACATACTCCTTCATGCACTTCTTCAATAATCGTTCTGGCTTCTTTGGCATCCACACATCGCAACAAGACCTGATCATGACTCTTCTGTACAAGATATCACCATCAAGCACATACCCTACCGCCATTCTTCGAATAGTTCTTTTGTCATTCTCAGTGGCATGCTCAGGGTAACTTTGATATTTAATGTATTGAATGATGTCGTAATACCAAGGATTTACATCATTTTCATCTTCTATGCTATAGCAATGGGCTGGATACCCGTAAGCTTGCATCGTAATAGGCATCATGCTTGAATATTCATTGACTTTGTAGGCTGCTGCCAAAGTGGCCAGAGCATCCGCCATTTGATTCTCTTCTCTGGGAAGGTAATGGAATGTCACTCTCTCGAATTCTTTAATGAGCTCTAGGACCAACTTACGGTATTCCACCAACTTCATATCCTTTGTTTCCCATTCACCTCTGAGTTGATAAATTACCAGTGCTGAATCCCCGTATACTTTGAGTGTTTTCACTTTACGCTCAATGGCTGCTCTAAGACCCAGAATACATGCTTCATACTCGGCCATGTTATTTGTGCAATCAAAATTCAATCGGCTGGTGAAAGGATAGTGTTTTCCACCAGGTGAGACGAGAATTGCCCCAATCCCGTGCCCCAAGGCATTCGAGGCACCATCGAAATTCATATTCCACTGTTCATTATTAGAGGAAACTACCTCCTCATTTGAAATAACCATTAAATCTTCGTCTGGAAAATCAAAGTTCAGTGGTTCATACTCTTCAGAAGCCCTACTTGCAATGAAATCGGCCACAACACTTCCTTTAACTGCTTTTTGGCTTACATATTGGATATCAAATTCAGACAATAAGATTTGCCAACGAGCCAATCTTCCAGATAAAGCAGGTACACCCATTAGATATTTCAGAGGATCAAGTTTAGATATCAGCCAAGTAGTGTGATACAACATATACTGCCTGAGCCTTCGGGTAGTCCAAACTAAAGCACAACACAACTTTTCTATTGACGAGTACCTTACCTCACAATCAGTGAACTTTTTGCTGAGGTAATAGATTGCTCTTTCTCTTTTTTCAGTTTGATCATGTTGCCCTAATACACACCCCATTGAATTCTCAAAGATTGACAAGTAGAGGATTAATGGTTTGCCTGATATTGGTGGCATTAAGACTGGAGCATTCGATAAATATCCTTTTATTGCTTCAAAAGCTCCTTGGCAATCATCATTCCATACTCCTGGGTTATTTTACAGAGAAGGCGAAAAATAGGGTCACACTTCTCGGTTAATTGCGAAATAAATCGGGCAATATAGTTTAATCTTCCCAGGAATCCTCGAACTTCTTTTTGTGTTTGGGGGTGGTAAATTCTGAATAGCTTTGACCTTGTCAGGATCCACTTCAATCCCTTTTTGCTTACTACAAACCCCAAGAGTTTTCCCGATGTTACCCGAAGGTACACTTGCTTGGATTGAGTTTTAACTGGCATTTCCTTAATCTTTGGAAGAGTTTCCTCAGATTCTCGATGTGTTCTTCCTCCGTTTTAGCTTTAACAATCATATCATCAACGTAGACCTCTATTTCCTTATGCATCATGTCATGGAATAGTGTTACCATGGCCCTTTGATAGGTTGCCCCTGCATTCTTCAGCCCAAACGGCATCACCTTGTAACAGAACGTGCCCCACATGGTGATAAATGTAGTCTTTTCCATATCATCTGGATGCATATTTATTTGATTGTAACCTGAAAACCCATCCATAAATGAAAATAGAAAATTTCCAGCCGTATTATCCACCAGGGTGTCTATGTGTGGCAAAGGGAAATTATCTTTCGGACTGGCTCGATTAAGATCTCTGTAGTCGACACACATACGAACTTTTCCATCTTTTTTTGGTACTGGAACAACATTCGCTACCCATTCCGGATACTGGCTACTTTTAGGAACCCAGCATCGAAATGCTTCTTTACTTCTTCTTTAATTTTAAGCAGCATTTCAGGTCGCATCCTTCTGAGCTTTTGTTGTACCGGTTTACATTCAGGCTTTATTGGCAATTTATGTACCACTAACTCAGTGTCTAAACCTGGCATGTCCTCATACGACCAAGCAAACACATCTTTGTAGTCTTGGAGCAGCATAATCAGACTTTTTCGTCCCTCAGTAGATATGATGGTGCCAATTTTTATCTCCTTTTTATCTTCCTCTGATCCCAGATTCAAGATCTCAATGGGCTCTTCATGAGGCAGAATTTGTTTATCTTCTCTCTACCATTTTTAGTAGTTCAGAAGGTAAGTCACTTCCCTCATCACTATCATAACCTTCAACTTCCCTTGACATATGGGCAGCTCGAAATCTATCTTCGGGTCAAAGTCATCATTCATACTATTGATACCGGAGGTCCTGAAAGAATAACGAACGAGAGGATATATATACATATACAAATACGGGAGGATCTAACCCATATCAAAATAGAATGAAATAATAATATATAATAAAGAAATAAATAAAAAAATGCAATAGATGATGTTTGCCATTTCGTGAATTAACAGGAATGCATCATTTATTAAAAAACAGATAGATTAACCCCTTACAGAAGATCATATATTGTCTCAAGGTTTAGACAATAGGGAAAGTTTTTGTGCATTACTCTGAAATAGTTTTGTAAACTACAGGTAATTCTTCTGCAGTCCAATTGTTTAGCACAAAGCCTGGTGGTGCAGGGTAAATGTCCATAGCCACTCCATCTTCGATTCCTTCCTCTGATATCACATTTATACCCAAATCCCTCAGGGCATTTTCAATAATAGGCTCTTTAGATGATCGGTCCCCCTGAAACATGTGGCCCCCTGATATGAAGGTGTCACGCAGCGATGGGAAAATCATAGGCTCCCACTTAATATCCTCTCTGGCTAACCTGGCTCTCCTCTTTTCCTGGCTCTTTTGAATATTTTTCAATTTTTCCTTTAAGGTCAGGTGATATCCTAGACCAAAACGATCTAGCTTAAAACCGGGAAAAATTGGACTAATATTCCCCTGTAAGCGACTCCCTAGCCCTCTTCCAACCTTGGCTCCTCTTCCCAGGGTCATTTTCAGTCCCATTTTGGTACAGTTTGATAACCTAGGCTTTGGAATTTTCTTTCTTTCAGCAACAAATGTGGCATTAATAAATTCCAGGGCTCTGAAAGAGCACTCGACTGCATCTTCATCTACTTCAACATATGGAGCGGTAGTAGATATGGAAGCAATGATATCTTCCTCAGCATTAAGGCATACCAATCTCCCCTCAATTACAAATTTGAGTTTCTGATGCAGAGTAGATGGAACGACTCCTGCCTGGTGGATCCAAGGCCTTCCTAACAAGCAGTTATATGAGGGCATTATATCCATTACAAGGAATTCAACCTCGTATGTTGATGGGCCTATGGTTAAAGGAATATCAATCTTCCCCAGCACCTCCTTCTTTGTTCCGTCGAAAGCTCGAACGATGCTTTGGCAATTTCTCATGTGTGTACTATCGACTGGTAATTTCTTCAAGGTTACTAATGGCATCACATTCAGGGCAGAGCCGTTGTCAATTAGTACTCGCGATAAACACATGTCCCTTGCATTGGATGGTAATGTGCAGGGCTTTGGGATTGCCCATCATTCCGGACGGGATCTCATCATCAGAGAAAGAGATGAAGTTATCCGCCTGAATATTTGCAACCAGTCGGTCTATTTTTTCCACTGGTACATCTTTCGGTACGAAAGTCTGATTCAAGATTTTCAACAAGGCGTTTCGATGTGCCTCAGAGCTTAATAGTAAAGCTAGGATTGAGATACGAGCTGGCAATTTGTGTAATTGTTCAACAATGTTGTATTCACTATGTTTCAAGAATTTTAAAAACTCTACAGCCTCATTCTCGGTTACAGGCTCATTAATTGTTGGCTCATCATTTTTCAATAATATCTCAACCCTTTTTCCTTTATCAACGATCGTTCTTTTCTCGGGTTCACTGGTCTGGTTGGGAGAATAACATCTCCCACTTCTGGTGAAATGGCCTACCTCGTCCACTTCTTCCTTAGCAGCCTCTGAACTCTCAACATTCTTTAATTGGCATCCATACCTCCAAGGGACCTGCTTGTTGTCCTTATAAGGAAAAGACGATGGAGGCGTGATCACTATTTTAGGGATTAACCTTTCCATAGTCTGGGCTTTCGGTGTGATGACTAAAGGGCAGTTGGTATTGTAAACTCCCTTAGATGTGCCTTCGGAAGCGCAAATCTCAATCTCTTCTCTTTCGTAGCTTCATGGTAAAATTCCATATCTTTACTATCAGCCTTTGAACCAAGGCCTTAAACTCATCACAACTTTGAATGACATGATCCTCGCAACGGTGGTAGGGGCAAGCATGCTTATTTTCGTTAGCATTAAAGGTCAACCAGCCTATTTGACCATTTGCCCCCATACCCAATGCATGGGTGACTTCACTTCTTTGACTTTGGTAATGATTTCGTTCCCTTTTTCTTCAATAACAGCATTAACCCCTGTCCCTGCATGGTTCGGCAGTGGGTTCTGAGCCACATTGGGCTGCTCGCTGTCACCAAAATTGATGACATTTCTTTGTCTTAATCTCTGCACCAACTTTTTAAAGGCCAGACAGTTTTCAATTGAATGCCCGATGCCCCCGCATGATACTCACATTGAGCATTGATGTCAAACCATTTTGGGTAAGGAGGCTGTATTGGAGAAGTGTGGTAAGGTGACACCACATGTTTGTCATACAGGATCTGGAATAGTTCTTTATAAGTCATGGGGATAGGGTCAAATTGAACCCTTTCCCTTTCCTGTCTTGGTTCTTTCGCCCTTGCTGGACAGGATTTAGTGCTGACGATACAGTGGCTTGTGGTCGAGATACTGTAATGTTATTAGAATCATATTTCTTCACATTACTGACCTCATTATCCTTCCTTCTTGCTGGAGGCTTTCGGCTAGATTCTCCCCCGTCTAGCTTCCCGCTTTTGATCGCCATCTCAATCATTTCTCCTGCATTAACTATATCAGCAAAATTCTTGGACGAATTTCCAATAAGATGTCCAAAGAAAGGGGCCCTCAGAGTATTTACAAAGAACATATTAGTTTCTTCCTCCTCTAATGGTGGATAAACTTGCACAGCCACATCTCTCCACCTTTGGGCATACTGCCTGAAGCTCTCGTTGGATCTTTTTTCCATACTCTGTAACAGAATTCGGTTTGGCCTCACATCTTTTACATGCTTATATTGCTCTAGAAAAGCCTTAGCCAAATCCTTCCAGGATTTAATATTAGCCCGACTTAGCTGATTGTACCAACGAATTGCTGATCCTGCCAGGCTTTCTTGAAAACAATGAATTAATAACTGATCGTTTCCCACATAGCCTGTCATTTTCTGCAAAACATGGTAATATGTGCAGAAGGACAACTGGTGCCATCAAATTTCTCGAAATCTGGAACTTTGAACTTCGGCGGCAACACTAAATCAGGGACCAGACTTAGCTCTCTGGCGTCAATTCCATATAGGCTAGCATCTTCTTTCATAGCTCGGAATTCATGCTTCATTTGTTCCCATTCTTTCTTAATCTCCTTATCCTGTTCTTTTTTGTCTTCCTCATCCAGATCAGGGACATCTTCAATTGGTTGCGGGTTGTAGAAGAGCCAGGTAGGTTTACTTGTATTTTTTTTGGTTGGATGGTTGTGGTTTGTTGTGCGTGGAAATGCGGTGGTGTGAAACCAGGGGGATATAATGGTTCTTCGGCAGTATGACTGATAATTGGAGTCTCTTCTCGGATTATACTATTTCCTTGTAGCAAACTAATCAACTTTGCCATCATGTCGTCTTGAGCCTTCATCATCTGTTCGCGCATATCCTCTTGCGCTTTCTTTAAATTCTCTTGCATTTCAGCTTGAGTTTTTTCAATTTGTGCGATCTTGTCATCCATTTCTTGGTTGATTGACGAGTACCGTATGGGTGTGAGGTGTATGCCAGAATAACTACAAATGATTGGAAATTGTATTTATTATTTGGTGAATTTTAATGAATGAATTGTTATAATGTAATCATTAAGATTTTAAAAATTTAGAAAAAAAAACATATGAAAATGCTAATGCAAATGCAACCGATATTGATTCCAAAATAACTTAGTTTATATAAAAAGTACTCAACAACACACACGTCTAAGCACTTAGGCAAAGAGATTATATCGACATGATTACTAAACATAGAATCTTGCCCTATTCCCTAATCTCTCGAGCTCTATCATCAATCCGATGATGCGGCGTTCTTCCTCTGATTCTGGAATCACAAAAACTCTTAAAGCTGTCGCTTCTTCAGATAATTCATAAACTTGGCGAGCTACATCGCGAGCCTGATCCACTGCTCTCTCCATTGCTTCATGTTGCATTTGAATGGTGTCCTGAGCCTGTCGTAGAGCAATTCCAAGCTCTGGATTAGTTAATGGTCGGCTCTCTTCTAGCTGTTGGATTCGCTGATGAGATCTATGCACTATGACTTCTAACTCAGTAATCTTGGCTTTTAAGGCCTCGTTTTCTTGCATGGTTACCTCTTGTGCGGATGAGTGGATTAACCCTGCTCTTTCTAGCTCAACTATCTTCTTCTTTAACATCACATTTTCTTTTTGAAGACTGTTGTAAGGGTTCCGAAAAGTCTCATCGATGCTAAGCAGCTGTGCTTCGAGTTGTTCAATCTGTGCTCGCCTTTGTGCTAATTCTTTGTTAGTCTCATCTCTTTGCTCTCTCAGTTTCCGAGCGTATTGTATGGATCGTTTCTTTTCTTCTTGGCCTCTTCTTGCGCTTCTTTCTACCCTATCGAGTTTTATCTTTAGGGTCTTGGCAGTATGATGTAGATCTTGGGCTCTCATATTCCTCTCTAAGGCCCGAAAATCTTGGTTTAGCGCATCAAAATTCTCCTGGACCTTTTCTTTCTCTTTGGCCAATTGTTTTATCACTCCGTCCTTCTTAATCATTTCAAGTTCCCATATTGTTTTCTCCTCCGAAAAGCTTCTCTGTTCTTTTTCTCTCTTCAAATTCATCAGTCGTATTCCTCTTTTAACAACTCTGTTTCTGTTGGGAGCTCCTCAATCGCTCCTCCATAGTCAACTGGTCCTCTAAATTTGGCTTAGGTATGTTGTTGTTAATTCTCTGCGACCTCCAAACCTCATAGGCCGGCGTGAATACAGGCTCTATCATCTTGAAGCTCATGCATTGAGGCTTCTGCCAAGCCGCGTAGATCTTTGAAATCCGCTCTCGGTAACCCGGAGTAGAGAAAGAAAACTCTGCCTCTTTCAGGCCATGGGTAGCTGGTACGAACTGTCGGGTACCAAACTGTCTGAGTACAATTAGCGGAGTATACCCGATAGCTCCCCATAATCCGTGTAGCATTATAAAACTATCATTACCGCACCTAAAAAGTATGTCCTCTTTGGGTAACCAATAAGCCTTCCATACTATCTCAGTATCTTTCATGTTACGGAGAGCTTCAACCCAGTCTTTCCTCTTGCGATGCTCTGGGATTTGGCATTTGTCGAGGAAATCCACTAGAGGTGAAAAATTTGATTGATGTCTCCGAGCCCAGCCTTTCTCGACTATCCAGGAGTGGCTCCACCACCAAACTAGTAATAGTGAAGCACATCCGATGAATTGACCTCCCCTAATCGTCTACACTGGTTCAGTGACAAGAATGTTTCTGCAAGGATGGCTGGTGCAGGATTCTTTCTAGCGACAGCTTCGACGAAATCGATTAAGGTGATGTCGAAGTGATCCTCATTCCTGGGGAAAATTACCAAACCATATACTGCAAGTGCGAAGTGATCTCTTCTTTTTCGACGGAGTTTGCTCGTAAATTAAACTCTTCAGCTGAGCCCAGGAGATCCCTTCATCACGAATGTACTCTTCAACCCACTCCTTGGTCTTTCCCGTCAACGTGATCATCTTGGCTATGAACCCTTTAGGTCGAATTGCCTTGGTGTAAATGGAATGTCTTCTAACATTCGGAATGTTCAGCAAAGTCGTATACTCCTCTAAGGTAGGGGTCATGTCTACTTTACCGAAAGTAAAACATTTGTAAGCTGGATTCCAACATTCGGCAAGGGCTCGAATCACCACTGAATCTATTGGTACTCTCAGCAGCTCTACGATGTCGCCGTATATCCCTCTGAACAATGTCTTCTCATATCATCCCAGGTGGACCAAATTCTTGATAACTCAACCCAATGTGCCTGCCTGACTCGAATGATTACCTTTTCTGGAAAAACTGTATCTTCGGTAGTGGCAAGGCTGTCCCCGAACCGTGTTTGTCTGTATTCAGACCAGGTCTGAACACTGATTGCATTCTCAATCCCATCGGAAGACATTGTTGCCTTAAGCTTTTTTATAATAACTAGGTAATCTGGGAATCAATATCGTTTATTAAATGATGTGATATGATAATGATACATGCAATCAAGAAACAAAGCAATAAGTTAGTGATATTAGAATAATTAAAAAAATCAAAGAATAATTAGTAAAAATTTAAAGTATCGAATGCAAAATAATCAAAGAAAATAAAAAATCCTAACATCATGCGATCTAATTCTTCTAAGTTATCTGCATGGCTTTAACGAGGTAGGCTTACTAAATTCTTTATATGAGGTGGGTTCTAACAAAAGGTTCCTAAGCCATCTTTACAACCTGCTAAGGTTGACCCCGATTCTGGCCCATTACAGACTTGCGAATCGGGTTCAGCTCAGGGGATCACACACTAAAAGCGTACCTCGGAACTGATATCCGGATAGGCAACTTAGGGTGCTTTCCAGAGATACTTTGTCAGACCCACACAAGAAAGCCCAATGCTCCTCATGAGGTGTGACGTTTCTCTACTTAAGTATACTAGGATTGAGCTCAGGTTTAGAGCTATGATATGCAACAATTCTAAATATTTCACAGAAATGTAAGCATTAATCAGAGAGAAAATCTTTTTTTTTTTGTTTTTTTTGAAATAACATAATGAATCGTAAATTAAACAAGATTGAACTCATAATTTCCAAATAATAAATATAGGGTAACCAACTCGTGGCTCGACTCTCAATTTGTTTAAAAAAACAAAAGTCCCCAGCAGAGTCGCCAAGCTGTCGTAACCGTTTTTCGCCCAGAAAGGGAAAGACCGATGCCGATGGGGTTTTCTCTTTGAAAATTGTTTCGAAAGATGAAGAGTCGCCACCAATCATTTGAGGTGTGATTGGAACACCGTAAAAACCGGGTGATTTTAATAAAACATTTTATTTTTATAAATACCGAGTTTTGAGGTCTGCAAAATCCAGAAATCAGGTTCGGGAGTCGGTTACGCGTGGGGAAGGATTAGCACCCCCACAAGCGCCCAAAAATTGGTACCTAGTTGATTACCCTATATTTAAAATCGGAAATTTTGAGTTCGATCTTTATTTAATTTAAAAATCATTAAGGATGTAGAGTTTGAAAAGGGTATTCGTTTATTGAGACCGATAGCATTCGCCCCCGAGCGTAAATGCGGGAGATCAGCTATTCTGTCTAATAACCGAACATTGCCTCATTTTTAGTGATGTGGTTTTGAAAAGGATGTCGACTTATTTGGGGAGTTACCAGTAGTCACCCCCTGAGCACGATCGCGGAGGATATACTATTAATTCCTTAATAAGTGAACAGTACCTTAGATTTGTAAAACAACGCAATCAAACAAAATTTTATTTGTCCTAATTAAACTAAAAGTAAATTAAGGATTTTTATAACTTAAAGTGTCAAATTATGAAAATTAAAGAACCTAGGGGTTCAAATCTAAAATGTAGGTTCTAGTATTAATACTATATATTAAAATGAATTAAATATTTACGTATTACAAAATTTCTTTTGATAAATTTTAAAATGATCGAATATTATCCTTAGTCAATTTATTTTGATTCGAGTTAAGTAATGCTCATGAGAATATTGTACAAATTCTTTCGAATTGAAAAGTACATGAAAATAAGTCTACATGCTCCTGATCAAATAAATTTACATTGCTTTACACGTATTAAATTGGTAAATATAATTAAAGGATATAACACATTTGCAAATGATTATTACCTATTATGCAATATACCTATATGGCATACATATATAATATATACATATGAATTCATGAGATGCAAAATACGTAAATAAAACAAGTGCCGTGGTACCCTATTTCTGTCGATTGGTATTCGCGTAACATAGAAAAGTTAACGCTTAACAAAAAAAAATCTTGGCAACATATTAATAAATAAAAAAAAAGAGTGGACGTTTGATGTGAATTAAAGAGAACAAATAAACAAAAAAATACCATCAGATAGTAAATTATTTAATAGTTGTAGTTGTTTCATACATAAAGTAATGGTTTTCTTGGGCCCTTTGTTCATCATTTCTGGAGTATTTCAAAGAAATAGGATCCACTTTCCTTCTTTTGTCTTGGAGTAGGTGTTGACCAAACATTTAAAAAATTTCTACCGGAAAAGCAGACTAATTTAAACTAAAAATACTAACTTTAAAATAATGGCTAAATTCAAATAAAAGTAAAATTACATCTATAAAATTAAAAATAAACTAATGACCTAAATACAAAATAAACATACGTTACAGGGTCTTATGTATGATTTATCCTATTTAAATTAAACTAAAACAATATGTAAAATAACATAAATAGTGCCTGCACATTTGAAAATAATCAGAAAATTAAAATAAATAAAGGACTTCTTTAAAAGAATGTAACTAAATTTTGAGAACCTAAGAATAATTTACCCTAATAAGTACGGTGACTAAAAGTTAATTTACCCAAAACTTTTAATATAAAACCTAATTTATGCCTAAACCTAAGCTAACTTACACACAGGAAATGCCTCACTCCTCTTCACTTTCATTTTCATCCTAAACAGAGAGTGAAACTCTCTTCTCCTGC